AGAGATGGATGCGGTGGGCTGTCTCAGTACATCATGTTTCCTAAATCGAACGACTCGCCTCGAAAAAATATAGTGTAATTATTTATATTGCATTTCTTAGTTCTTCTGTTACTTATTAATACAATATATATTTTTAAAGTTATTTGTATGCTCACCATGTTTCAAAAAAATATTTCGTATTCTCCCTCTACTGTTGTTACTGTTGTCCTGTTTTTCACAACCGTTCTTGTGTCAATGTGCTCTATTTACTAAACGGACAGAGGTTAGTCAGTGTTTTTTAAATTTTATTTTGTGGGCGGTTGGCGGTTGCTCTTGTGTGGTTTGTTTCTTCTTTCCTGTCAAACATCTATCGTCCTTATCTCCCCTTCTTCTTTTTTATGTTTGTTACTCTCTTGTAACACCTCTAATCCTCTGACGCTCATATGACCTTATGTAGTTGCGAGCGCCGTAAAACCTCTATTAAAACAAAAAACTAACTTGTTTTATTTTGTGTAATCCTCAGGAACGCCAACTGGAGCAGCAGCAGACGAAGACAGCCTCATCCTCAGTCAAGAAAAGTAAGAACCAAGGTCTGCATGGTGTGGCCTTAGATGCCAGCCTTTTTTCCTTTTCCCTCCTGTAACCACCCATTGTTAATCTGTTTGATTGAAACACATAAACATACATACACGCACACACACATACATGCGCGCACGCACGCACGCACGCACACACACACACAGAAGGTCACACACACACTCCCACGCACATGCGGGCGCACACACTCACAAACACACACACACACGCAAATACACTCACAAATTATGTTCATGGTTGTTCCATTTATCTTCTAAGTTGTACTTTAGCTGTCATGAAAACCTAGAGCGTGGTTTGACTATGGTATCAAGAGATATTTGTCGATATGTAGGCCTATCTGAAATGCTTGTTATTTGAGAGATTTTGTTTTTCGAAGAAAACATGTTTTTCGAAGAAAAAAAACACAAAAAGGGACTCTTATTGTGATAAACAAGAGCATTTAACAAAAGTATGGTGTTGCTATGGATGAGGTGCATGTATCATTTCAAACAGGTTTTGCTTAAAGTTTTTGAATAAAGAAAATGGAAGCCAAGTAAGAAGAAAGTGAAGATTATTTTGGATCGAAAGGGCTTAAAATTGGATGATAAAATAATTTTGGAGTCTGCAATGTTTGATTTTTACCCTATGGTCACCCTCAAGAATAGGCTTAACGGGTTTTTGTTAGCGGGGATGGGTGAGAAGGCTCATCCAAACTTCTAGTTGTGAAGAAAAGAACGTATTATGTGTTGTAGTTAGTGTGCTTTGATTTATTTGACCATCTAGATTCAAGAAGGTAGATGTTTTCTTTACAGAAGATGTATACTATTTAAAGTCTCCCCTTCCTTCCTCTGAACGAATGCTTTGAATCCCCCTTTCCAATACACCACCTACCCATATCTTTCTAAACATGTTTCAGAGGTGACGATTTTCGAGATAGATCTGGAAATGGGGATATCAAATATTTGTTCAGACTTTGTAATCTACCCCTGCTTATACATTTATTTATGTGTTAGTCTCATTTGCATGTCCTATTGCATTTTATTTTTAAAATATTCTTGAAACAAGATGCATTAGATAATAGGATCTGTAAATTTTAAGACCCTACTCGCATGTTGAGTCAGAAAAAATGGGGATTTTTTTTAGTAGCCAGTTGGCACTTGTGATGTTCTAGCCTCCCCACCTATCCCTACCCACCGGTCCTTTGAGTGAACACTACTTTGCTGTGTGAGTGTGATATGTAGCCCCCCACCTTTTGTAACCAAACCCCGAGAGAGAAGCATATTGTCATGTCTAGTATTAATTGATTTGCAAAATGCCTTTAAGAACGTTTGACCCTGTGTATTTTCTTACATTGTTGTGTGTATTTTACTGCACTCTCTGTGCCTCTTTTTGCGGATATGCTTGTCCCTCTCTTGTAAGTCTTGTAATGGAGAAATGTGGGTGACAACATGCTGATGTGTCGTAAACTACATTTCATCTACTGTTTCCGCCTATCATCTCTTTCTCCTTTTCTTATTCTCTCTCTCTCTCTCTCTCTCTCTCCATCTGTGATGTGTGTGTTTATACTTTTCCCCATCCTAGTTTATCTTTGTTTTCTTGGCAAGCACTCTATTACTCTATTGTTTTCCTCTAAATGTATCTCTATGAATCACCTTTATACACAGCTTTTCTATCTATGTCATCCTTCCATCTTTCGGTCCATCGATCTGACCCTTCATCTGATCTTTCAACTTTTCCTTTCAGTGACATGTTTTTCTATCTGGTCGTCTAAATGCCTGTACGTCTTCTTGGTGTTGTTTTTACTATTAAGTAGTTTCTTTCTCGTTTTCTTTCCCCCAAAAGTATATCTATTTTCAGAGCAGGTAGATAAATAGACAAAAACCTGATAAACAAAGTGTGTTCTGTGTAGTCCATTACGAAGACATGGGTATGTCATGGAACCACGAGCTTTGTTGTGTGTTACTTAAGATAGTGTCAGGGATGGATGGATGTTGGGAATTTCAATGTAGCTGAAAAATATTTAGGAAAAACTTTGTGTAGAAGACTTTTCCATTTGTGAGGTGTATCAGGAAGAGCTTGTTGTTTATTTAAGGTGGAATATTTTGTTCTCTTCATTGCAAATCCCAAGGGTAGTTAAAATAGTTACGAGATACTCTGAAGACTAATTTGCTCTTGAGAGGATTCAACTTGGATAGATAGAGATATACTGTTGTGTGTGGGATTTGGGGTTGTGTCAGAAATGGAATATTGAATAAAAAAGCACTCACGAAATGAATATCACAAGCTTTAGAATGCATTTCACCGTAGAATAGAAAACAGTTTTATTTATTTTTATGGGAGGACACTGTATCAGAGGGTTGCAGGACTCTGGTCACGTTTGCCAGTAGGCAGGGTGTATAATTATGACATGCTAAACTATGGAACAATTATTGCAGTCTTCTTTTTCTGGATCCCCCATTTTCTCTCTAGCCAAGCTTTTTGTTTAGAGATACATAAGGTGGATGGTTGTCCTTCTTTCCTTTCAAGAATCTGTTGTATTTAACTCCTCTAATCTTTGAAAATTATATGACATATTTTTACTTAAAGTAAGGACCAAAGATACACGAGTCACTTTTTCTTGGACACAGTAGTATTCCTGGTTGGTCAGACAGATTTACCACTGTTCCCATTTGTTTTTGTATGCAAAGGGGAATGGGGGGGAGGAGAGTAAGAAAGATGTTGCCTCTAGTTGGTCAGACTTCTAGGATATTTTTCTTTTGCTTCTGTCTGTCTGTCTTTCTTTTCACCTTACAATGTTCCAACCACTGTTATCGCGTTGATATGCTTGTCTTTAACTCCCAATGTTTCTGTATGCACCCACAGACAACAAGGAGATCCGGGAGGCAGAGAACAGGATGGCCTTCTCGCTGAGGTTCCCGACGGAGACCTGGGAAGAAGCTAAGGTTTATTTCAGCGAGGAGTCATGACAAGACTGTCTGTGAGGTCACACCCACGGTTTTCTGCACGGGACTCGTCCACTTTTTGCCTTGAATTGTCGACGTGGCTGGGCTTTTTTTTATAAATTCATGAAAGCTATAGCCTTTGCCTATATGAGAGCGCTATGTGATAACTCATCCCCCATTTTTATATGTGCAGTGTATCGTACTTAATATTTTTGTGATGAAAAGCCATTCCATGCATACCATTACATGATTATTTGATTCTCTCTACTTTCTCTAACTAATCATGCCTTTGGAAAACATTTTACATGTATATAATTTTGTACTTTCATTGCGAGGGAGCATTTGGCCTTTTGGAAATGCTACAAATTTTTTTAAAGTACTTTTCGATTTGTGGCTATGGTATTCCCAAGTGTTGAAATAGTTTTCAGTTTGTAACTTCAATGTTTGGTATAATCTATCTTTTGATATTGACTGTACTCACCACTTACTCTGTGAAATGGATAAAAACAGTGTACTGTTACATGTGCACGCTCGTCGGCGCCATGTTTTCTCTCTTTACTCAGATATGTAGCTCCTATGTTTGTTAAAAAAGATAATCAAAACTTTTCTGTTCTGGACCTCTTAACTCGCTCAACCCTAAGCCTTCACTTCCAGGCTGTCAGCTCTCCCTAGAGATTTTTACCCTTTTTTTTTTTTAAATTAAAAAAACCCCTAAATTTCAACATATCCTACCGGAATGTGGTACACATTGTATTCAAACCTTTATTTGTGTGTATTGAAAATTTGAAGGCATAATATGTCATAGTTTTTATGCAATGGAAAAAGGTCTATATATTATATAGAGTCAAAAAGTAAACAAAATGCGAAGAAAGGAAATGTGGTGCGTTCAAATTTCGTACCCCCTCATATAGTTCACGAATATAGCTTTCTTTGCTCTAAATTTGGGCTTGTACTTCTGGTCATAATCTGATTCAAACAAAAAATGGTTACTCGTCCAATTAGGCTATAGTCTGCCTCACGCAAAATTTGTGTTTTCGGTCAGGAGAGCAAAATTTTCCATACCGATACTTTCGACGTTAGAGTTGGAGTGTTGCGTGTGCATACTGATATTATCGGCGTTAGGGCTGGGTGAGTTAAATGTGTACTGTTAGTAGATTTGCTTTTTTAAAAGTTATGCCAATTTATTCTGATTCATTGCTCAGGGTCCAGGTGAAATGGATTAGAGGCGTCTGATATTATACTGCTTTCTTTTTACATGTTCATTATGTTTGCAGTAGTGACACCCAGGAAGTGACCGTTTCAAAATAATTTCAGTTTGCAATCATCCGGGGTTCTGATTTTGAAATTTATTTTTGTTGGTTTTTGACTTTGGAAGAGATATGGGTTTTGTTTCAGTATTTGTATAAAAAAAATTTTTTTTGACTATATTCAAATTTTGAAAGGTACTTTTAAAAAGGTCCTGTTTCTTTTACTGATAAATTTAATCTAATATGTAGTAACTTCATGGTTTATAAAATGACTAGACTGGTGTGTACATCTTTGATTGGTTAGCAACAGTGAATATTTTTCTGTTTGCTTTTGTTTTGTCTCAAACTACTGTAGTCTATTTTTCTAAATTTATAATATAGTTATAAGCTCATATACCTTCTAATGCAAGGTGTTTTTTGTCACTGTTGTATATACATATATAACAAACTGGCCCTGAAGTGTACAGATAACCTGTCGATGATTCCATCTGCCTGTCATTCAGATTTCATAGGAAAATTCATCTCTTTTTTTTTTCAGCATGCAAAAGAATGAAAATAGTTTGCTCCACAAATGTTTTGTTTACTGGGCATTCTTTTTATTCTGTCCAGATATGAAGTAATACAGGAGCGTTAGTAAGACAATCACATACTGCAGAATAGTAGATTTTGAATATGCTTCTTTTTTCTACTCTTTTTATCTCTTAGCTGAATTGTGTATGGGAATCAAGAGGGTTTTTGGGTGTTTCTCTTATCTGCTTTTACCCCACATGTGCAAACAAAGTCTTTAATTGGACCTTGTTCTATACGTAATATATTATGTCGTTGGCCAGCTGTGCATATGCGCAAACCCAAATTTTTGAAGTTTTTTTTCTGTTGCAGTTTCTTAATCTGTAGTGTCAGTTGCATGTACGTTTTAAATATTTTGTTGAAATTCAAATTCTACAATTTTTAGAAAAGTAAGAAAAAAAATAATAATATAGACACAATTAAAAGAATAAAATAGGTTTTTCCCTTTTCATAAGAATGTTGCTTTCTGGGCCTAGTATATTTGAACAGCTGGCTGGCTATATGTCATATCTTTTAAAATCTTTTCATTTCATCACCACTGTTATGACTTGCGATTATTTAAATGAAAGAATGTAAAAGTACAAGATTAGTCTTCATGTCAAGATGCTATTGTGGAAGCGTTGATCATGTTTCTTTTAGCTTTGCGAGTAGAGCACCTCCAGGGCAGGAATCTTTAACCGAAGCACAAAAATTACTGGGAGTTCCCACCAGTGGGTCACCCATTGTGTGCCATGTGTCAAGTAGCCTAGGACATGTAGTGCTCTGATGTATTGTGACCTTTTTTTGGTTCAAACTGAAGAAAGGAGGATAGAGCGGTTGCTTCTATTTCTGAGTAATTTTATAACCGCTGAAGACATTTGTTTCTGTCGGGAATCATTTTTTTCCCAGAGTTTTGTCTTTGGTAAATAGTTTTGCAAATAAATGAAACTTTCATATGCTATGGGTTTTTCCTTTTGCAATAGCACACTTGGCTTTGTTTGCCAGCCATTTTGACAGTACTTTGACAGAATGATGAGGAAGAGAGAATCTGGAAGTACTGTTGGAGTGGAGCGAGAGGAGGAGATGTTGCAGGCTAGGAGTGGGAAAGTTCTCGTCTCCTCTTATGATATCTGGTTAGTGGAAAATTTGAGTCTGGCAAGCAATATGCTTTAAGTTTTGTTGTGTGTGTGTTTTGTGAAGGTTGTGCTGCTCTTGATCCTCCGCCTTCATATCTCCGTCTCGTATTACATGACTATGGATTCTAAAATAGAGTATTATTTGCTTCTTGTCCAGTATGTGAGCGAATTGTGATATAGAGTGAAGTATCTTGTTTTCCATGAATTTACGCCCTTTTGGGAGTAATAGTTTATGGACGAATGTGGGCATCATTTTTTTTGGTGTGTGTGCAGACTATGCTACTTTGTTAATAGGGCTATTCCACAGTAACTGACGGGACATTTGGACTGTACTTTCTTCCAATGATAACACAATAATTCAATATCAATTAATTTATTTTATCTTTAAATTATCAAAACATTTGATAGACATATTAAGAATCATATTAAATGCAGTCATTTGAAAAAAAAAAAGGTACTTTATGCAAATTTTGTGATGTGTTTAGTTTCAGTAACTGACGGGACGAATGAATTATTTTTTTGGTCCAAAATATTGTCCAAATGTCCTGTCAGATAGTGTGGAATAGCCGGATACTAAAAATGTGCCGCTTGTTTACCTTGATATGTCAGCATTCTATGCCTCACTGAGTTCTGCGACTGTTGATAGCCTTTTAGGTTGGGGCATTGCATATTTTCTCCTGTACCTTTGTTGTACAGTTTAATTGACATTTCATGTCTGTAAGTTATGACTCGTCATTGTAAGGGGTAAACACAAGTTATTTTATTGCAAGTCCATTTGTGAACTGAATTGTGACTAGGATATTGTTTTGTCTTTATCTGAACTTTGGTCATAATTCTTGAAAAAGTAATATATATGCATAATTTATGTTTGTTTTCGTCTCAAATTATTTATATTTAATTACCCAATAGGAAGTATGTGGAGTTGTGAAGGAGATCCTGATGATTCTGACTGATATGCATGGGACCAACTGGTCCTGATGTTAACTCGTCCACCAGTCTGTTCTTTTTTTTTTACCTGAATATTTGAAACAAATACAAGCTCCTTGAACCATCTCGGAACGATGTGTGTTTACGATCTATGATTCTATTTCTATACTTCATGTGTGAAATCAAGTATTTTATTTTATTATGTATCTCTTTCTCATCTGGTTGATTTTACTGCTGTGTGCTGGAGTGGACATTACCAAATAAGTGTACCTGGAAACGAATAAAACATTTGTATTCCTCACACCCACCGTCATTGGTGTTTTCATTGGGTGTTCCTTTCCATGAAGGCTGTATCCAAGACTATGCAAAATGCATGCACTTAAGAAAAGAAATGTTTTCTGTCACAACTTGTCAATGTCTGGATTTTGTCAAGTGGTTCTATTACTCGGATAAAATAGTTATGATTTTGAAATGGCTTTTTTATCCTGTTCTAATAAGTGGTTCATAACATGAAGGACCCAATACTTTTGATTGTATACACAAGCACACACATGCATACACACACAAACACACACCACTTCTATAAGAGATGCGTGAGAGTGTATGTTTTTGCAGTTTTTCCGTTTGAAACTAATGTCACAATGATGGTCACTGAGAGCTTGGCTTTCAATACAGAAATAACGTAGAAATCTCCTTCAGAACTATGCCTTGTGATAGCCGATGAAGTTAGGGCATGACTTAAAGCATAGGTATGCTACAGTGCACCCTAGTCCCATTGAATTTGTCATACTGGGTACTTGATGGTGCTAGTCAGCTAATTTATATAACAGAGGGGGGGGGGGGGGGGAAAAGGGGAAAAAGAGAGAGAGAGAGAGAGAGAGAGAGAGAGAGAGAGAGAGAGAGAGAAGAGTCCAGAATACTTTTGGGTAATCTAGTCGCTTAGACTTACATGCCTGCACCAACTAATATAATAATAATATAGTGTTCAGGACTGCTCATAGAAAGTGAGCTTCGTTTGAAGTGAAGGCAGTACAATGGTGAATTACTGGGAAATAGTAACACTGTTAATACTGTTATGATAGAGACCGAGAGGTACTTTTGTGTGTTGGGCAGGCATTTTGCAAATCACATCACGTCCTAAGTGATGTCATCTCTCTCTCTCTCTCTCTCTCTCTCTCTCTCTCTCTCTCTCTCTATCTCTCCTCTCTCTCTCTCTCTCTCTCTCTCTCTCTCTCTCTCTCTCTCTCTCTCTCTCTCTCTCTCTCTCTCTCTCTCTCTCTCTCTCTCTCTCTCTCTGCCAAAGGTGTTTTGGGGAGTTGTATGTTCAAATTTATTCATATAAGAAGGCATACTGTTTGCTCAGAAGAAATGACTTTCGACTACTGCGGTAGCAAACCAAGCCCACGTTAAACATCAAGAGCGTTTGTTTTTTAGATATCACCAAAAACCCCCCCCCCCACAACCCCCCCCCCCCCCCCCCACAAAAAAACAACAACAAAAACCAACCAACCAAACAAACAAACAAAACAAAAACAACGAAAAACAAAAAAGCCCACTTCCCTTTCTCTGTCATCTCCTTCTGGTTCTAGCTCCCCGCTCTTCAACATTTTGCTCGGTATTGAAAGAGGCGCAAACTATAACTCAAGCTTACCCTAAGAATACATGTAGTTCTGTGTATAGTTCACTAGCTCTTATCTGACACACGGGGAGGATGACTTAGTTATTAAGCTACGTATGTGGGTGGTTGACGGGTGTTCCGGTGTGGTTTGCTCCTTCTTTCCTGTAAAAATATCTATCGTCTCTATCCCCCGTCCGTCTTTTTTATGTTTGTTACTCTCTAGTAACACCTCTAATAATCTTCTGGCACTCATATGACCTTATGCAGTTGCGAGCGCCGTAAAACCTCTACTAAAACTAAACTAACTAAGCTACTTATTTTCAAGTATGGAGAAGTCACAATTGTTCAACACATGACAAGTTACGAAAGAGGTAACTGGCCGTGTACTAGTGTACTAAAATGTTAATCTGCAAGTGATGGGGATTGGGGGAACTTGTGTGGTCGTTTTGGGTCTGTTTTCTGTTTTTGTTGGGGTTTTTTTTGTTGGTATGATTTGTTTTGCTGAGGGGTTTTTTAGGGGAAAAAAGGGGAGAGGTCAGTTTGTTATAGCATAACAAACATAATAACTCTCATACAGATCTGTTGAGGTCTCTGTTGTATTTCCGTTTATTTGAGATGCGGTGCTGTACCGATCGTACTCGAGGGAAGTAGTTTCGCGGGTGGTTAGCGGGTGCTCTGGTGTGGTTTGCTCCTTTTTTCATATCAAACACCTATCGCCCTGATCTCCCCTACTTCTTTTCTATGTTTGTTACTTTCTTGTAACACCTCTAATCTTCGGCACTTATATGACCTTATTGTGCTGCAAGTGCCGTAAAAGTCTTACTAAAACTAAAAGAAGTAGTTTCAATACGTGCACATCATCTCCTTGCTCATGTAATGTGCTGGGCGTGGAAGCGATGTTTTGGGTGCAGATTGTGCGCGCTTGTGTGAAGGGAAGGGTGTGTGTGTGTGTGTGTGTGTGTGTGTGCGTGTGTGTGTTTGTGTGTGTGTGTGTGTGTGTTTGTATGTGTGTGTGTGTGAGAGAGAGAGAGAGAGAGAGAGAGAGAGACAGACAGACAGACAGACAGACAAACAGACAGAGAGAGGAGAGGATTGTGTGTGCAAGTGTGCATGTGTGTTTGTACTATAAGAGAGGAGGAGAAGGAAAGAGAGAGAAGGTGGAAAGAGACCCCCCCCCCCCAAAAAAAAAAGGCGGGGGGGGGGGGGGGGTAGCTTTGTTTACCACTAAGCTCATATCAATTTTTGGCTCGGTTTTCTAACTTGTTTCAATTGTTACACCAGGAAAGTGGGGGGGGGGGGGGGTATATTAATAGGTTTGATACTTCTGTGCTAAATACCCCTGTACTGTGCTGTCTTTAGTTCAGTGTTTTCGACTGTGTACGATAAGGTAAGGGTTCAAAGCAAATATTTGTATAAAGATGCGCGACCACGAATTATGTATACATTGTCACTGGGACAGATAAAACGGTGGCGTGCTATAAGATCCTGCTGAGGCATCTTGAGTTTCCAGAATGCCCCGTTTGGGATTCGAACCGCGACTGCAGGGGCCGCATTTTAATGTAATGCCTGACAGACCGAAGGGCTAGAACCCAAATGGCCGCTGGATCGGAAAAGTAAAGTAATGTAATGCCTGCTGAATTAATAGCGCACCCTTCAAGTTTGTGTATTTGTTTATTTTGTGCAGTTTTACATTGTTCTGTGTAGGCATCACATCTGTATTTAGCAATGT